GGTATTTACTTATAGGCACACACCATTCAAAGTACTGAAGCTGACTCAGTGTAGGAATCTCTATGTATGGATGAGAGGTGGGCAGCTTTTGACTTTTAATATTTTTGAGATCTGATAAATATTTCAGCAATGTCAGTGTTTTGGAAGACCACGATATTATAATTCTTAAGAAAATAAGCTCTAGTCCTTACTTGAAGAGGTTGTGCTGCAGTACAAAGACATAGTTCTGAGGTGATTTTATTAAATATCTGGGACCATGGGATATTTTAGCGACATGGATATTTTAGGTGGAGTTTAAGCATCATAAATTTTCAAATCTAATCAAGAATTTACAAGTATTCATGTTTCTGCATGAATCTCATGGGAGTTTACTCACAAAACAACAGATTTAGGCCCAGCAGAAATCTATTGCTTTTTAAAAGATGATTTTTATTTCATATTTCAGTGAATATATAATATTCTTTCTACAACTGTCACATGAATATAACAGATTTCATGTCTGTGTGGGAAGATGTGTAGCTGTTCAAGCAGATGTGTATGCCATGTCAGGAAAAACTCTCCTTCTCATGAACAGCAAGGAATTTAAAGCCCTTTCACTATGACAATATACAGTCTCATCTGCAGAAAAACCTATGGCATCAATATTGTTAATATACTGGTGATATGGTATATTATTATTAAAAAGTACTGAGCTACAGAGATGTTTGGGAAGCACTGAACATGTTCAAAAATCAATGCATCATACTACCATGTTGAAACCATCAATAAAAGTGCAACCTATAGCAATCCTACAGTAATGTAGATGATCATTCCACTGTGATAATGGATCCCATTTTTCCTTCCAGACCTACAGAGTTTGATGCAGTCTGGACCATCTGTTCAAGTGCAGCCTTTTAGGAACATCCAAGGATCCAAGGTATTCCGTGATACATCTCCTTGCACATATGAAAAGCCATGCTAGCAGTTCAGGATTAATACTGAATCTTCCTAAGCATGCACAATATAGTATATATTCTTTTTTGCAGACCTCTGCTCCTATTAGCAATCTGTCAACAGCTGCTTTTGAAAACATGACAGATCATGTTAAGAATACAGAAATGTCTTTTCGTAAAGAAATGTGTTACGTGGAGGCATACCCACATCAACTATTTCCTTTCTGGCACAGTGTGGAAACAGTAAACAACTGTGTAATCTGCCTTCTATCAACAAAACTTATGTGTCTGAATGTTAGGTCAAGGCTGTGTCTGTGAAGAGACTTCATCTTGTAACTCATGTATTGGTATTTCACCAGATGAGAGTAAACAGTGTGGGAACACAAGCATCCTTTATGTTTTCACTTAAACAGGACACTTTCAAAGTTCAGTTTTACTCTGTTAAAAGCCAAACACTGAACAATAAAGATACAGTCCAATAGCAGGTTGCAATTTGTTCTGAAGGAGGTAAAACCAGAGCAGAAACATAATACACTTTTTACAAAATAAGACTAGACTCCTAGTCCAATCTATGCCTCATTTTATTTTCAGATGCTTTAGAAATTTTAATGTTATAAACACCTGTTGGTACTCATTTGCTGTATCAAGAGATACCAGTTCTTGTGGTCTCATCATTGCAGCTTGATTGTACTTGTTACAGTTCTTTAGGTATTGTATTGGAAGAAAATTAAGGAGACTGAAAGATACCTACCTACTGAGTTCTTAGCTGTGTCTGAGAGTCTGTACAAATGGCCTTCTCACAATTAAGTGTCTTAAATTTGGTTGCAATAGTAGTGATCACAAAAATGATGGCTCATGTGTCTCAGCTGATGACTGCAGACCTCAGAGACTCTGCTGTTTACAAGCAATGATCCGGAGTCTAGTTTATAATTTCGGGTCATAGGAGGTAGAAACCAAAACCTGTTGAAGTGAAATAGATACTGGTCACAGACACAACTTTTAATACATGGAAAACCCCAATGTAAACAATAAGGTACTGTAGTTTACCTGCTCTTTAGAGAGCTGGAGCTGTCTGAAGTGTCCATATGTGAACTGAAGTTCCAGAATTTTTATGGGCCTGTTGTGGATTTGGTTCTTATCCTCTCATTCTTAGTTCTTATGAAATAGAGATAATGTTACTTCATATTAAAAAATGTTATCACTGTAGTATATTTTGTATTGTAATTATTTTGCTCACCTAAACCCCAGAATTTTTCTACAAAGATAAGAATTCAGAATACATTAAATTATAAGAATTGGAAAAATATGAATTGTCAATTAAAAAATCACTTTGTTCATATATGTGACAAAACAGTTGTGAACATATTTGACACTGTCCTGTACAACATCCTTATCTCCAAAACAAAGAGACATGGATTTGATTGTGTTAAGACCTGATTATTAAAATTATTAGAGAGATGTCACTGCCCAAATCAAGGTACAAATTCTAAAGTCTGTAGCACAGATTTTTCTTCAACAGTGCATTGAGGTAGAGAGAGAGTGAGAGAGAGAGAGAGAGAGAGAGAGAGGGAGAGAGAGAGGGGGAAAGGAAATAGGGATGGGGGAGGCTTTAACATCCTGTGCTGCATCAAAAGAGGTGTGACCAGCAGGTCAAGAGAGGGGATTCTGGCCCTCTGCTCTCTTGAGACCCTACCTGGAATGCTGCCTCCAGCTCTGGTGTCCCCAAGACGGAGGACATAGAACTATTGGAGCAAGTCAAGAGGAAGCCAGGAAATTGATGCGGACTGGAGCATCTCCACTACAGAGACAGGCTGAGAAAACTCAGACCTTATATCCTTCAGCCTGTGTAGAGAGTTCACAGCAGCCTCACAGTATCTGAAGGGGCCCACAGGGAAGATGAAGTGGGACACTTCATAAGGAACAGTAGTGATAGGACAAGGAGTAATGGGTACAAAGTGAAAGAGGGGAAATTTAGGTTGGATATTAAGAAGAAATTTACTATGCAGGTTGCCCAGGGAGGCTGTGGATGTCTCATCTCTGACAATGTCCAAGACAGAGTGGATGAGGCTCTGAGACTGGATGGTGGGACTAGATGACCTTTAAGACCCATTCTAACCCCTTAACATTCCATGATTCTATGTTACACACGTTTTAAGTAGATTTGTTTAATATATGACCTTCACACATCATCAGGACATTAATGCTATATAACTTCCCCTAATAGTCCTTCATGCGTTATAAGCCTTCTGTTTCATGTTGTTAGGTGATTATCACACGTAGCCTCCAAAATAAAAAATATCTAAGAATTTGTCAATGGTCATGCTCAGTTGGGAATTACATGAAACTTTGCAATGAAGCTATGAAAAACCACATCATATGCTTTATGAAAGCTTATTTGATAGAAAAAGAAGAAAACACTTCAATGAGGTAATATGTTACAAATTAAATCACCTGACCTATACTAACTAAATAAGCATTTTGATCCACTTGCCATTTCTTCCTTACTTTTATATTTTACTTTTCCTTGCCTGCAAAATTCAATTCTCTAGGTCAGTTTGATTTTATTTTATGCCTTTTCTGCTAAATTAAAAGTACAGAGATGAAAAATAAATGGTGAAAAATGTAGCACCAAAGATATCAAAGTAGGTCTTCTGTAAGCTTATCAATTGCATGGTCTGTTTTGTAGCACATTATGAGCCATAAATGCAAGTTGCCTGCTTTTAGTAAAAAGGGACCCAGAAATTTTTCTACATAAGTTTGATCTGAGTGAGTTGCAAAACTGAATGACATGAAATGTCATAAAACCTTCTTGGGAAGTCACTAGAAGCACATCATATTTATATTTCCTAACATTAGCAGCAGAGCATACGTATTTACATTAACAACTGTCCTCTGGAGAAATTTATTTTCCTTGATTGACATATAGGGAAACTAACCCACAAATGTTGGCTGCCAAGTTTAATACCAAATTTTCACCAAAATGCAATAATAGGATGGTGTAGTCAAAATTTAGGTATGGGTAACATGACACACATTATGGCTTGCATTGTATATTTTTTTCTATTGCAGCAGAGTGTATCTCCTGTATCACATATTTGTTTAAATACCTAGCTATGGATATGTTCTACAAACCCTTTCTAATTACTTGCTTTATGGTGTTGAACACTGGTTTGCTTAGCAAATACAATATAACTGAATATTGAATAATTAATTAGCCTGTGTCTAATGTGACCTTTTCTTAAGTACATTAACTAGAAATAAGTGGGATAATAAATATATTATAAAATTCCATTGTACAAAACAAATATAGGTACGCATATAAATTATATAGGTATGTATCTATATAATTTTTATTAAGTCATTTTTGCTAAAATAATTTTAGTTTCTAATAATAAAATTTCATTTTTATGACTAGGTCATTGTTATAAAAATGAAGCTTTTAAACTACAAAAAAAAGTATGACAAAACAGTAAGAGGTATAAACCACTTGATTACACTTGAATTTTAGTTTCACCTGACTGCACAAAATAATTACACATACAGCTTTCAAATGTTTTTACACATAAAAAGATGTATGATGTTTTTAAGATTCCTTGGAGTACAGAAACTTGGAGAACAGCTGGTACTCCCATTAGCAAAGTCTCTATTAAAAGGGCAAAATGCTTGTTTCGTATTGTGTCACAATGAGCAAATAAATTAAATTTGAATTTATGAATTTCTGAATGAAATTAGATAGAATTTGAAATATGAGATTACATTCAGAATTTATGGTACAATTCTGCATTTTAATCACATGCCACATACCTATTGTTTTTACAGATATTTTGCAGACTTGTAGTTGTTAATTGTAATGTCACATTTACTTATCTTTTTTTGCCTTTTCCTTTTTCTTTTCTTAAGCCAGTTTTTCTGTCTATCATCTATCTATCTATCTATCTATCTATCTATCTATCTATCTATCTATCTATCTACCTACCTACCTACCTACCTATTGTGTTTTCCTACTGTGTTGTTAACTCACCTAAAGTGAAGATTCATTATATTTAAGCTGTTCCCTTCTTATCCTACAGAAGGTGGAATTTTGATTGACAGATTGAACAGCTGAAGGACACAAAAAGAAGAGAAATACAGTACAAAAAACCAGCAACTATCACTTGGAAAGTAAGGAAAAAATTATGGGTGCATCCACATTTATAAGATTATATGAAGGTTGGAAAACTGCAATGATGGAACAGTACAGTAATTTCTAGCTAGAGAACACAAATTAAGGTCTAGTTCCACATATTATAATGCACTTGAAAAATTTTTAGTCATATACCCTTAAATTTAATGCATTCCTACCATATGTTTCAGCAACAATTACTTACTGCTAGGAGTCTTTTGTGTGTGTGGTTTCCTTAAAAAAAAATGTATGGAGAATGCACAGTTCTTCTGTTACTTCAAATGTGGGCCTATTTTTCTCAATGATTTTTCTTTTTTTTCTCTATATGGTACTTGAAATAATGTAGGGAACCTCACAGACTATGTTTCCTAGATCTCTGGCAGAGGAACTGGCTCTGCAGATCCACTGCAGAAAAGTATGGGGCACTAGGCCAAGTTTCAGGGCTGAACTTCTGGATTAATATGATGGGGTGGTGTTGGGGCCCAAGGTGATTTTCTGCTGAGAAAAATGCATATCACAAGATGTTATTGTTCCTAAAAATAATTTAAGCCATGTGTAGCTATCCAAGAAAACTAGATAAAGGTGTGTGTGAGTTGTACCTTTAAAACTTAAAGCACCTTGCTTATTGGTTGACTTTGTGTGATAGGGAGCCAAATAATCATCCCCTATCATAAAGTCTTATAATTCAAGCCCAAACCACAGTTTCACCTTTTTTTTTTTTTTTTTTTTTTTTTTTTTTTTTTCATTTGTTTTTGTTCCATCCTGTTATTTGCAAGGCTTTGACTTCTGATGAATTCTGTGTTAGTGAAACACAGAATGGATTTAGTTACTAAATTATTATTGCATGTCTTTCACTTGTAACACTCATCCTTTCAGTCTAGGTAACTGGGGGCTGTAACACTAGTCTGCTATTTTTGATGTTTCTGAAATGTTTTCAATTGGTAATTATTTCTGTTATACAGTATTCTAAGGCTTGTAGTAGCTTTGCTTGTTTGTTTTAAATAATCTCCACAAGGATTACCAAATTATTTTTCTTTGCTTATCAGTATCTTTTGGAAGACTGCTATATACATTCAGTGCACTGGTTACTGTTACTATGAAATACAGGAAACAAAACCAAAGTTGTTGAAGGCTGTGGGTCTCTGGATAACAATAATTTGTCTTTTCCCCTGTGCAAACCCAATACTGTTTTCTATATTCCACAGTGTATTGTCAAGCCCATCTTCGAATGTGTATGTTGTTGATCTTTGGGAAACACAAACTTGAATGAAAAGAAATAAGTATATTTTACCTCATACCTATGACAGTAATTAAGAAAATCACTGATGCAAACCCTGTATTTTAAAATAAAAATGGAACAGTGATTACATGAAAACTGATGAAATGGCATAATTATTTCATGGAGTTACTGAAAAAGAATGTAAAAATGTGAAGAAGGCCAAAGGAGACAGAGCAGACAGATGGAAAATCAGAGAAAAAAATAGAACAGTATTTCAGTCTGAGTGAACTTTGGCGTGACTTGATTTGTAAAGGGCACAAATGGTAGACTAAGTTTTCCATTTGCTTCAGTGCAAGATGAACAGTAGTTTCTATGACTTGGTACAGTCTTGGCTGCCGTGCAGTCACCTTCCACTGAGGACATTTCTCATGACAGGTTGGACCAGTCAAGCCTTGGAGGACCCCTTGTCGATCAGGCTGGGCTTCTGAGCCAGAGGAATTTACACAGACAAATGACAGGTAATTTCAGGCTGTCTCTTTACAATTTATATTTTGTCCAGATTTAGTATTAGCATTTCATTTGCCTATAAAAGTTTTTAACAGTATTTCCCTTTTACATCTCTGCACAGCATACTGCATTATGACAATCCTATCCAGAAAGTTCACAATTAGTATTGCAGTAAAAACAACATATAACAATAAAGGAGCAGAGCTTAAGGATGCAGTTTAAAGTACTTTTTTAGATTACCTGCTTAAGTGTTTTATTATTTTTATTAACTTGAGCTTAAAATTTTTTGTGGATTTCTTAGGGGTTTGCAGAGGTAAAATGTAACTCAAGGGAGCCCACACTGATATTCGTGACATTCTCTATGTATTTATGTAGGCAAAGTTTCTGTGCAGACCTTCAGAGCTGCTTAAGAAAAAATTGCTTTCAATAGCTTTACAACAGTTTTTAATAAGACTAAGCTGGTTTTTTTTTCTTTTTCTTTTTTTTTTTTTTTTTTTTTTTAGGCACTTGAATTGCAAATCACTGATCCAAGGTCTTATAGCCTTGAAGTTCAAGTCAGATTATCAGTGAATATTAGAACACGCACATGTGAGACGGCCTTTACAAGCTTTAAGATCAAAGAGTCACTGTGCAACCTTCAGAATAATATCATTCCGTCACTCAAGCAAGCATTAGAAGGCTGGAAAAGTTCAGTCTTTCATGCAAACTTTTGAACTCCTTTTTTCATAAAGTGATTTTGAACATAGAAATCTTTTATGGAGAAAATCAAGCTCCTACTTAAAAAAAAATAATTATTGTACTTTCTAATGAAGAAAAAAAATCCCCAAGTTTAGCAGTATATTTGCTGCATATATTCTAAAATTAAAATATCTTTTGATATGTCTGATTTAAGCTTGTCTTTCCAGGTTTAGGTTCCATAGCTTCCAGGGTCTTAGCAGCTGTGCTTTGCATTATCTCTTGTTTAATGTTCAAATGTGGTATACCATACAGAAAAAACCCAAACCAAAAAGTTCTGAGTTAAAGTGTTAGTAAGTCCTGTAGAACCCATGAGATCACTTGTTTGTTCAGTATGCAGCAGGTACAGAAATGCTTTGCTAGGTCAGGGTTGTAGAGTTCAATGTATTCTGGTTGAGTTTGCTGTCAACATTGTACTGAGATTTTTTTGTGTCCAGACTCATTGTATTTTTTCTACAGAGCTGGAAAAGAAAAGAACATTGGACCACTTATTTTTATGGCATGGTTACAAATATATTAAACTTACATATATATCACAGCAGATGGAGGCAAATATTTTCCCTGGTAGAGGACTATTAATGTATATGGACAGTATCTTTAGGAATACAGGGTAGAACATCATAAATTAGCCTTTTAACATCTTTGTACCTTGAATTTTCTCTGAAAGCTCATGGTACTGAATCTGATTGCACATAAACTAGTGCAGGATTAGAGTTTAAATTGACTATAGACAGTGTAGATAAATTACTATACACTGTTATCTCAAATGTCAAAGTGTAGAAATTGAATCATTTGGGAATTAATTTAATAAAATCATAACCTCATGGACTCATAGAACCATAGAATGGTTGAGGTTGGAAGGGACCCTAAAGATCACCTAATTCCAAGCTCCCTGCCATAGGCAAGGATGGCACTCACCAGATCAGGTTCATTAGGGCCACATTCTGGTCTTGAATACCTCTAAATGCTAACACTTTTATGTTATGGACTCAGTATTTGGGGTGTTAAGTAACTCCATTTCCATGTAAATTATAACACCAAAGACTTTTTCTAATACAGTCTTTTTTGAATACTTTTCTTATATGAAAAAAGAAGCTTAGATATTTGTGGTTTCTCTTAAAGAAAATGGAAACCACAGCAAGGGATAACTAAATGTAATAAAGCAGGAGCAAGCCTATACTTTCTATTGGCAAAGCAATTATTCTATCCCCAATTTTATTAATGCTGACCTATTGTCTCTAGGACTACCTAATGGCTACTAAGTACTCAGAATTAGTTCCAGTGGCTGGCTGAGACTCCAATAGCAATTACTTAATCAGAAGATATTCCTGGATGTGTTTCTACCAGTAACAATATTCAGGGAGACTTACTGGAATCATTATCCTCATTACTGATCTTTATATCTTTCCTTCAGAGTATGGATGAATATGTTTCCTTTCTGGAGCATAAAACTCCATTGCACTAGTCATGCAAATGCATTCATTCTTCCCTCTGTTATCTTTGAGAATAGCAGTAAAATAAATTATAGCTTTTTCAAGGTCAAAAAGTGTTTTAAAAAACTTTGAATCAAACAATGAAAGATGTAATTTTCTACTGAGTTACTTATGCTGTTTGTACTACACTGTTCTAGCATGAGCTAAATACCTATATTTTATAAACTTCAAAAAAAAAAAAAAGTTGATTGTGCCAATTTCACAAGAAAAAACTTTAAAAACTCTATTTTCAAAAATTCTAAACTAAATACTTCCCTGCAATTGACAACTGCCTCTTTATTAGGAAGTACACAGAGCTGTTGATGGAGAAAAGCTCTCCTTTCTCTTCTAGGGGGAGGAGGAATGATATTCCCAACTTTTAGTTTTCCTTGTTCCTTGTCCACGAAAAGTTCTTTTTCTTTTACATCTCTGATAAACTAAATAGATTGAGAGGGATTTTAAAGTTGAAAATGTAGTTTATCTCTGTTTAAGTGTTCTTATCTGATGCACTTTCATTTCATTCTTTTGGCATTATTCCTAGGAAACATAAAGTCGAGGAGGCAGCAGAAGCTTGAGTTGCTACTGCTGCAGAGTGTGCTTGAAATCTTATCAGGCAGAGGCTGCATTCAGTGTACAGCAGAGCTACACAAGTAACCAGCCTTTAAGTTTCAGCGGTTGAATGGAAGAAAAAGCAATCTCCTTTTTCCATCTCCAAAATCCAATTTCATCCTAATCCAGCTATTACTTCTTGTTCCATTTGGAAAGACAAAGAAACATTTAATAATTTTTTTGGTACCGAATAATATTTTTTTTACCAAAGGTGGTTAAATGCTACAGGGAGAGGGTCACTTGGCCCAAAAATTTCCTTAACTTACTACATCCCAACAAGTGTAAATAAATTGGACAGAGCTATTTTATTATTTTCCATATACATGAAGAGAAAATGAGTATTCATGTGGTGTTTAAATGGTTTAGAATCCATTATTTTTTCCTGAATGTTGAACAGTAGATATTTCTGTTATGATTTGTATTGATAGTTTTGTATATATAATTTTGGTTTTGGATAAAACCAAATCTTGCTTTTGACCAAGCACTACTAAAGACTTCCGGTATTTAGCTTTGGTGTGATCCTGCAAGATAAGGATACATTTTTTCCAGTTACATCAAAGTGCATACATATATTTCAGCAACTTTTGATCTAAGTACTGTAGAATGTAAAAAAAAAAAAAGTGTGTATGTATCCATGCAATAAAACATTGACCTTTTAATGTGTATGGATGTAAATGTAACATCTGTTTTTACAGCAAGGGTATTTTTCATTTAGCTGAATTTGCTCTTTGTTTTGGCTTTCAAAGATAGCTGGACAGAAAATGCAGAATGGGTCCATAAGCAAAATTCATATCAGTAAAAATGCTGGTAGGGTGTCTGCAAGGAATAAATTACATTCAAGCACTCAGGTGTCGATATATGGACCAAACAGTAAAATGGATTTGAGATCTTTGAGGAAAAGATCCACTGTTAATGTAGCTGTGAAACACCACTCTGCTTGGATCCAAAAACTTGACATAATTTATATCTACTTTTAAAAAACAGAAGGAGGAGAAGGGTAGAAGGAGGAAGGGTAAAACAGCATGGTAGATCTGGAGAACTTATTTTTCTCTTTTGGCTTTGTTTTTATTAATATAATTTTGGAAAGAAGAGACTTTATGAATATTTGCAACTCTGCTTCTCTCTATATCTGTAAGATTACCATCTCCAGTTTTGCCATTCTGAACTCATTGAACAATTGGTATGAACCTGTCATTCTCTGCTTTTCCTCTGATTCATCATAATTATGATCTGTAGTTCTGAGTTGGTACACGGATCTTGGTTGCCAACTGACAAATATTTTGGGACTCAAGTTATACTTCTGGTCCAAGAATATTTGATAACATGTGCAACTATATTTCCAGGCTTTCTTACAAAAGATACAGAACAACAATTACAGTAACAAGAAATCCATGGGAGATATAACAAAATGAAGAAAGGAAGAAAAATGGATTAATTTTACTTAGTAGGGGAAATTCTACTGAATTACTTCTTTTTCTATGGTAGTTCTGGGGTTTTTTCCTTATTTCACTTGGTTTTGCATTCTGTTGAAATAATAACATGCTGAAGTATTGAGATATTTTTTTAAATTTTGAAATTATTTATGATTATATTATGATTATATTATATTGTCATTTATGATTGACCAGTCTAGTGCTGGAAAATAGAGTGGTAAGTAGGAGGAAATACATTAGAAGCTGTATATTTTTATCTATATTCGTGCTTGAAATTAGAACAGCTGTCAGAAAAGCTTTGGCTTAGTCTTGGCAGTAATCAGGAAAAAGTTATAATTTCTAACAGTCATATCTATCCTTTATATTACACAGGATGAAAAAGAAGCTTAAATGTCAGTTTAGAGAAAACTGGAATAAAATTTAGACAGTTTATGGTTGCAGGCATTTTATTTGTTAGTTGTGGTCTAAAACAGAGCCAGCTCAAAACAAATTGATCAAAATCAAAGAAATAAAAGAATGACCCATCAGGATATCAAGGGGAAGGCCAAGGAAGTATAATAATGCTATATTTTGCAACACTGAAAAATAAAGCCTCTTTTTTTAGTACAGCAAAAGTTCACTTCATGTGCACGTAACAAGCTACCTTTAAGGAGGGAAGTTCTTGTAAAACCTGACCCAGAATAACATGTCCAGCTCCAGGGCACCTAACAAAAGAAGGACATAAAGCTGTTGAAACAAGTCCAGAGGAGGGCCACAAAAGTGATCAGAGGGCTCAGAAGAAGAGTCCTCCTTTGAGGACAGATGGAAAGTTTGGGCTGTTCAGCCTGGAGAAGGGAAGGCTCTGCGGAGATCTTACAGTACCTTCCACTACTTAGAGAGGGACAGGGATTTCTTACAAAGGTATTAAATTGAAGTGACAGTATAAGGGGTGATGTCTTTTAGCTGAAGGATGGTAGGTTTAGTTTTGATAGTAGGAAGAAATTCATTGCTGTAAAGGTGGTGGGGCATGGAAGAGGTTGTCTAGGGAGGTTGTGGACTCCCCATCCCTGGAGGTGTTAAAGACCAGGCTGGATGGGGCTTTTCCCGCTCTAGTGGATGGTATCTCTGTCCATGGTAGTGGGGTTGGAGCTATATGTTTTGTAAAGTCCCTTCCAACCCAAATCATTTATGATTCTATGATTTTGAGATACTCTAGGACATTTTAGCCTTGTTCCCTATATGAATTTTAAAGTCCTGCAGAAGTTCAACAGGTGAGATGTGTACTTTTTAACGCATGTTTTTCAACGACACCGTATTAACACTTCTGGGTGTCTTGGAAAGATTTACCTGAAAATTCCTTACATATTTGTGATCAAGCAGCAATGA